CCTCGTTGTGTATGTTATATTTTGAGACTGATCATAAAAACAAAATGGATTAAAAGAAGAACTAAACAGATCTTTCTCATATTGCAATGATCGATTCTATTTCTTTCACATTAAGTACTGTACTAGTAAATATGTGAAATGACAAACTCACTTTGAAGGTTGGCTTTCATACACATCAGTATTAAGTTTAGATCAAAAGTTACCTCAAGGTGCATTTACTGTTAACATGACTCGATCAAACAGATTAGAGGAAAGAAGAGAAAAGATCGAACTGACAAAGAACTAATGAAGATGGTACAAAGGTGGGCGCCAAGATCCCTCTGGGATCTCTTGTTGAAACATGTTTAACATTAGGGCATAGAGTTTTAAAAAGGTACAACTAATGCAGGAGCACCGTATCTTATATCACTGTATGGCAAGTGAGGTAAAGTACAGTATGTTTCCTATTTCATCACATTCAAGAAATAATTCTACTTTTCTGATTTATATACAGTAGGTATTGATACAAATGTAGTTTTCTTGTTAAATTGTCATTTCTTGATACATTATAACAAAAATGCATTGAAAGAATTCTAAGTATGGCACTTTGTTATACACAGTCCACCTACTGTGTGGTGTTATACAGTCTTCACACTGTGTGGTGTTATACAGTCTACCTACTGTGTGGTGTTATACAGTCTACACACTGTGTGGTGTTATACAGTCTACCCACTGTGTGGTGTTATACAGTCTACACACTGTGTGGTGTTATACAGTCTACCTACTGTGTGGTGTTATACAGTCTACCTACTGTGTGGTGTTATACAGTCTACCTACTGTGTGGTGTTATACAGTCTACCTACTGTGTGGTGTTATACAGTCTACCTACTGTGTGGTGTTATACAGTCTACCTACTGTGTGGTGTTATACAGTCTACCTACTGTGTGGTGTTATACAGTCTACCTACTGTGTGGTGTTATACAGTCTACCTACTGTGTGGTGTTATACAGTCTACCTACTGTGTGGTGTTATACAGTCTACCTACTGTGTGGTGTTATACAGTCTACCTACTGTGTGGTGTTATACAGTCTACCTACTGTGTGGTGTTATACAGTCTACCTACTGTGTGGTGTTATACAGTCTACCTACTGTGTGGTGTTATACAGTCTACCTACTGTGTGGTGTTATACAGTCTACCTACTGTGTGGTGTTATACAGTCTACCTACTGTGTGGTGTTATACAGTCTACCTACTGTGTGGTGTTATACAGTCTACCTACTGTGTGGTGTTATACAGTCTACCTACTGTGTGGTGTTATACAGTCTACCTACTGTGTGGTGTTATACAGTCTACCTACTGTGTGGTGTTATACAGTCTACCTACTGTGTGGTGTTATACAGTCTACCTACTGTGTGGTGTTATACAGTCTACCTACTGTGTGGTGTTATACAGTCTACCTACTGTGTGGTGTTATACAGTCTACCTACTGTGTGGTGTTATACAGTCTACCTACTGTGTGGTGTTATACAGTCTACCTACTGTGTGGTGTTATACAGTCTACCTACTGTGTGGTGTTATACAGTCTACCTACTGTGTGGTGTTATACAGTCTACACACTGTGTGGCATGTGTATATTGCTCTTCTCCTGTGGGACTCGTGTGATAACAGAAAACTCCCATTAGGCATCAGTTATGATTTATATCATAACCAAATCCTTTATAGAATGAATGCTTTCTTTTGCTGACCTTTCTTTGGTAGTATATTTGCCAGTTTTGTTGAGTGATAAACCGTTGTATTGTGGCCAAGTTTGTGGAGTGATAAACTGTTGTGTTGTGGCCAACTTTGTGGAGTGATAAACCATTGTGTTGTGGCCAGCTTTGTGGAGTGATAGACGTTTGTGTTGTGGCCAGCTTTGTGGATTGATAGACCTTTGTGTTGTGGCCCACTTTGTGGAGTGATAGACGTTTGTGTTGTGGCCAGCTTTGTGGATTGATAGACCTTTGTGTTGTGGCCAACTTTGTGGAGTGATAGACCTTTGTGTTGTGGCCAGCTTTGTGGAGTGATAGACCTTTGTGTTGTGGCCAGCTTTGTGGAGTGATAAACCATTGTGTTGTGGCCAGCTTTGTGGAGTGATAAATCGATAGTTGTGGCCAGCTTTGTGGAGTGATAAACCGATAGTTGTGGCCAGCTTTGTGGAGTGATAAACCGATGGTTGTGGCCAGCTTTGTTGAGTGATAAACCGTTGTGTTGTGGCCAGCTTTGTGGAGTGATTGACCTTTGTGTTGTGGCCAGCTTTGTTGAGTGATAAACCAATGATTGTGGCCAGCTTTGTGGAGTGATAAACCGATGATTGTGGCCAGCTTTGTTGAGTGATAAACGGATGGTTGTGGCCAGCTTTGTGGAGTGATAAACCATTGTGTTGTGGCCAGGTTTATGGAGTGATAAACCGATGGTTGTGGCCAGCTTTGTTGAGTGATAAACCGATGGTTGTGGCCAGCTTTGTTGAGTAATAAACTGTTGTGTTGTGGCCAGCTTTGTGGAGTAATTAACCGTTGTGTTGTGGCCAGCTTTGTTGAGTGATAAACCAATGATTGTGGCCAGCTTTGTGGAGTGATAAGCCGTTGTGTTGTGGCCAACTTTGTTGGGTGATAAACCAATAGTTGTGGCCAGCTTTGTTGAGTGATAAACCGTTGTGTTGTGGCGAGCTTTGTGGAGTAATCAACGTTTGTGTCATGTTGTAGAGATACGGAGCGACAGAGGGAGATAGCCAACCTTGAGGGTCAGGTGTACAGGTTTGCTGAGGTACTCGGGGAACAGAGGTCATCCACACGGGATAATGTACAGAGAAAACAGGCACGGACAGGAGAGGAGAGAGAGGAGTCGGACGATGAACAGTATGCCGAGTCAGACTCGGACAATGATGATGATGATGTGCCATATAACCCAAAAAATCTGCCACTTGGGTGGGATGGAAAGGTTTGTGTTACCTGCTGTTTTATTAATCTACAAAATATATTGAAGATGTCATTGCTGGCATACTGACTATATCTTGTTATTATGTAGAATATGTATTTAAACATGTTTGTTTATCATAATCCCTGGAAACAATTTTCATATTTTTGAAGTGTAAAACATACAAAGTTACACATAATTCTAGTGAAACAAATGAGTGTCTGATCAAGGCTATAAGTGATAGTTTTGACCTAAATATCTTAGTTACATCATTTGTAACTGAACAATATTTATTGTGCCATAATTACGTTATTTACAAATCATCGAAACTATTTACAAATGATAGAAACTGTTATCCTGTCATGCATGAAATACAAAAAAAAAGTGTTTGTTAATGACAACTTACTGACCCAATGACAGCAACACACAATATGTTTGTAAAGTAAAATTGAAATACATGTTTATGCTATTTGCAGTTTTTACTTAATTTCAATGGTAAATTTTGCTTTAATAGTATCAATGAATTAAAAAAAAAAAAACACCGAAAGATACAGTAAAGTGTGGAAATTTATACTTGGATCACATTTAGTTTATCTTTCTGGCATTCTTGTACCATGTAATGAGTACTTACAACGTGTATTTATCAGCAGGGGACAGTTCATAGCAATTACACTAATGTTAGTTGTGCTGTATAAAACTATCCTTCTTTACAGTATAAGTGATTAGAAGACTGGACTGTTACATTACAATTACAATGTAGCCACTAATTCACATTACTCCACAATGTCAAGTTCAATTCACAATTCTTTAGTATTTGAGGTATTTGATAAATGATATGTATTTTATGCATTTCATGTCATGATTTAAAAACTATTTTATTTCACAGCCCATCCCTTACTGGTTGTACAAGTTACATGGTCTGAACATCAGCTATACCTGTGAGATATGTGGAAACTTCACCTATAAGGGACCAAAGGCATTCCAGCGACATTTTGCTGTATGTATTTTCATGCCCATGCCATTTATTTATTGGGTCAAGGGCTTGTATGAGAATTCAGGATCCCAGGGTAAAGGCCATGGTCATTGTTACTATTATAGAGGTTTATAAAGCAGTGACATCACTATAGCATTTTCATCGTCAATGTATTTTAATCAAATTATAAAGATCAAGAAGGAATATATTTTGAATAATTTTGTATTTCACAGTTCTAAGGCCAAAGTCCCCATTACTATTTTTACATTTTTTTTCAAACAATGACACTTATTTACACGGGAGCTGGGGTCATTCATATCTTAGACATTTTCTGATTGAGTATTTATTAACTGTTGATTCGTCATTTTACCAAGTAACAAATATCGTCATTTTACCAAGTAACAAATATCTTTGTATCATTCTACATACATCCCCCTATATTTTGTTTGTTTTTTGATTTCATGATTGCTTTTCAGAAGAAGAAGGTTTCTAAAGAACTGTAGCAAAAACTTGATTTGGTTAGTAAGTATGTATGTTTTTTTCTTGACAGGAATGGCGCCACGCCCACGGAATGAGGTGTCTAGGAATTCCAAACACAGCTCACTTTGCCAATGTCACACTAATAGAGGATGCCTTAGCTTGTAAGTGGAAGGCTGTAACAATAATAACATAGCTGTACTGTGGGATGTCCCTATTCTTATAGATATTGTTTCCCTAATTCATTGGTTATGATACATTTGTGGCCCTGAATAATATGAAGGTTTGTTTACCTGAAAGGTCATACTCCCTTCACCTTTAAGGTAAACAAACCTTCATATCTCCTTACCAACATGGCTAAAATATTAAGAACAGCAAAAGATCTTTAATGTTGGGACAGGTGGTTATCTTCCATTGTTATTGATGAAGTAAAGCATGAAGACACTGGTAAGAATGGGAATTTCACTGTTAGGGGCGTACACTGCTAGATATAATGTTTTGTTGACTTCAACTATACTGTATCATGAGACGTGATTTTTCTCATGGTCCTGTGATAGTCTGTGACAAAGAGATTGTATAATGTCTAACTCTAGGTAATTTTTAGTTCAAAAATATGATCCCCTTAACTCTGTAGTAAAGAACAAATAGTGACAGTGTGAAAAAAATGGGGAAAATGTGGTTTATTTAGTCTGAAGCTTGCATTTTTTCAAAAGTTTCTAAAAAAATGTTTGTTGAGCATTTTATGTTCCTGACAAGATGCAGAAAATGTGAAGTTGTACCAAAAATTCTTTGTTATTAAAATGCAAATGAAAATAATTCTTTGCCCAATAAATATTGTTTGTGTATTGTCATGTATAATAGTGATAGAGTGACTGTCAAATTTTGAAGAAAATGTCTTATTACAAATACCAAGTAGGTAAGTGAATTCTAATAGAGTCTTTTATAAGTGGGTATGGGGGATATGGTTATCCTACCAAAGGGTTGTTATCAAAGGCTGTAGAGTTTTGTTCAGAATTGAGGCTTTGCTGAAGTTCTTAAACCAAATTCTACACCAAAGGGTAAAAATTCCATATACCACATACTTTCATAATGATTGACCCTTTTTTTCCACCTTGCTCGAAATTTTGGTGAAATATTGCATAGACAATGTAGATGTAACACTTGATAATTATAGAAAAATTAAAGATATCGTATTCACAAACTAAAGCCATATTTGGAAGAGCAGAAAAAAAGGGACATACCATAGGTACACCTCATCTTCAAAAATCAATGCAAAAGCTTCGGGGCAACCATTTGCAATACTGTATAGCGCTTTAAATTTGCGGGGTCAATTTTTCGCGGCTTCATATTCAGTACATATTCACAGAGGTTAAATTTCGCTTTGCACCCGAATCCCATGTGTCGTGCAAAGTAGTTTGAGTGTCATTTAAGGGTTAAACTTCGAAATAAAGGTAAACCGTTTGAAAACACTGATCCCGAACGTCGTCATCCGCCAGTGTCTTCACTCGAAACAGAATCAAATGTGTACGTACCTTTGTAGAAGTAAACTTTAATTAATTAACCACCTACTGTGTACACATAAATAGATTGTGGCCACTTATATGTAAGTGTTGGTTTTACATGGACTGCCCAGTGATCATTTGATTTGAGGTCATTTTAGCTTGCATAATTGCGTTGGGTTTGAAGTATTTTCAACATGTTGTGATAAGGTCCGTAAAAGTGGTTAACATTTTTGATATCTTGACCGGTGTTAAGAATTTGCAGATGTTAGTCAAAGGGTGAATATAGCAAAATTAAAACCCCTGCAAAATAAAACCGCTTTACAGTAACTTGTTCCTGGAACACTGTTTTAATGGACTTTTGATGAATACGTTATATTGTGATGCTGTCATCATAGTAACAAAGGTTACTGTCAGAGTGCAGCCATGGGATACCCGTACTGATGAGTGTTCCACTACCCTGCATGCATGGTAAACATGCATCTTACATACGCAGAAAGAGGGAGAAAATTAAACTTAAACATAGTTATTAATAGAGAAATGAAAACACAATTACATACAAAAATATTTTTGTTTACAGACTTTGACTTTCAATACATATTTGCTCAACTTTATTTTTACAATGTTCTTTTTCAGTGTGGTCAAAAATCAAGTCGACAAAGGAAACAGATAGATGGAAGTCAGAAACAGAGGTATGTTTTTTTTTGTTTTTTTTTTTTAAATATGTGAGGTATTTACAAAGTCAGGTTTCTAAAAAACTTTTAATGTATGATGATCTGAATGTTAAGTTTGAAGTCAGAAACAGAGTATGTTTCTAGAGAATGATTAATTCAAAACGACTTGATGTTGAGATAAATATCTTACCAAAACTGCTTCTCTATTATAATCTATAAGCTGGTAAATACTATTTGAAAACAAACTTACAAAATTGGATATAAATTCTACCAAATCATCAAGAGTTGGTTGGACATCTTGTTTCTTCCGTTACATATAAAAATCAACACTTTCTCTCATTGACAGCCAAATTTGACTTCTCTGATTGTGACAAAATTAGACATTCAACATGATGTCACACTACAAGACTTATCAGCATAGGTCTTAAGTAGATCATTGTTTAGAACTGGTCCCACATATGACTAAGAAAATAGACAGCTGCTCTTCAAACTCACGAATCAGAATTGAGTCTAAATAAGTTGTTCAAAAATGTTGAATCATGTTTTTACAGGAAGAATATGAAGATACAAGTGGCAATGTATTCAACAAGAAGACATATGAGGATCTGAAGAGACAGGGCCTGTTATAGTTCTGTGGCATCAATACAGGAATGGGAGTACAGCCACATGTCAGCTCGTACAAACTGTATGTGGAGTGGATATGATGTGTGGGTCCATTTAAATACAGACAAGAATACCTGGCAGTGTAATTTATATATTTCCAGGTGCAAATTTTCTCTGGTTTCTTCACAATAAAAAAGTTGGGTCATGAATAGTACTGCACAACGTTTCTTTAAATGAGCTGGTTGTCAACGTCATTGCAGCATTCTATATTAAAGTTTCTGTTTCTCAAAATATAGCCATGTTAGTATGGACTGCTCCAGAATTAATTATTAACACAGATTAGTTACAGGTAATCATTTCATTTAAAAATAGGAGTAGTCGGATATTCTTTACAAATTGATATTATATCTCATTTAAAGACTTTTTAAATGTTGATGTGTTTATTACCTTACACATCTCTGGTATCACCGAGATTTGGTATAGCCCTTTGAAAAAGAAATATCTGACTACCGAGAATCTTTTAAAATATAAAAATTCTATTGATGCAGACAACTGACCAATTATATTACAGTTAAGAAATGTATGTCAGAAAATGTATAATAATGACAAATTATTATGACAAAATCATGAAGTTAATCATTTAATTCCGTCAATCATTGTTTGGCATTCAAATCATAGCATACATGTGAAAAATTGTTTCTTCATTAAATTGCCATCATCAAGCGTTTGTGTTTGTGTGTTTGTTCTGACATAGATTGACCTCTGGCCCAGAATCATGAGCCATATGTTGACTAAGGTTATGGTACTTACACAAGATCTTTGATTTTAGTTATTTTCCTTAATATGTTGTTAAATTCAGAACTATTTGCACATCACTGTTATGTATCTTTCAAATGTGTCCTCGGTAATATCCAAGTTCAAATTACAATTAACATTAGATATTTTACAGGTTTATTCATAAGTCATCCTTAAGTCTCCATGTCACAGTAAGGTAACATGCATCTTTAAGTCTCCATGTCACAGTAAGGTAACATACATCCTTAAGTCTCTGTCACAGTAAGGTAACATGCATCTTTAAGTCTCCATGTCACAGTAAGGTAACATACATCCTTAAGCCTCCATGTCACAGGTAGGTAGCATATCCTTAAACCTCCATGTCACAGTATTAAGGTATCATATATTTTAAGTCTCTGTGTCGCAGTAAGGTACACTGTCGTGTATATCATTAAGTCTCCATGTCGCAGTAAGGTAACAAATATCTTTACAACCTCCATGTCGAAGAAAGTATACATCCTTAATTTTCTATGTCAAAGTAAGGCAACAAATATTCTGAAGGAGGTCATTGGTTCTCTTCAATTTGATAAATAGTTCTTGATGAGTAGGAGCTCATTATGAATTAGGCCCAATCACCACTTTATATCTTGAGTTCACCAAGTTTTTATTATTGAGTCGCATGCTGTTATTCATCACAAAACTTTCCATCGACCATTTGTTCTGAAAAAGAAATTTTTCAAAAGACCATTGACAAATTTATAGACAACAGCTTCAGCACCATGACATAAGCTCACATAGTTGTTTTCAACTAGATGAGCTAAACAAATAAAGACAAAAGCATTCATCCTTTACTAGATATTTATTAAATTTTATAAATAACTTTTTAAGAATAACAAAAAATCTTAAATGAAAATTGACACACTTTGTCATTATCCCTCTGAAAATACTACATCAACAAAGTATGATATAAAATCATAGAAGACAACTGTAATAATTAACATGATCTGACTATAATACAAATGCACCACATGCTAAAGACCCAGCAAGCAGACTGGACTAACAAACGAAGGGAGATAATGTATGACAGACTTAAATGATACACTAGCAGAAAAAGGAAGTCAAGTTTGTAGTAATGGTTCTAGAAAGATAGAATCACGGGGAAATAACTACATTTCAGCTACAAGGAAATGAGATTTAGCAACTTCATGAATAGTTTTCTAGAACAACTAAGTCTCCTATTGTTTTTATTGGACAAGCATGCAACATTACCCGTCTTCAAAGAAGATCTTTGAATTATTGTGTTTCTCATTTTTTTCTGTATTTTTCCAGGATCTTGAATTCAACTTTAATCCGTTATAATATACATGACAAAAGGACTGATGAGGAGAAGATATAGTTTTAATTAGATTGCACAATTAGTTCTATCACGGAAATTAAATAATCTAATGCAAAAAGTTCTTGGGGCTATTCCAGAAATATACATATGGACGGTAGGGAATGTAGGCCTTTTGTGACCCCAACACCTACAATCATTCTTTTTCTCAGGGCCCACTACAAAAACGAAATGAACAATTACTTTAGACAAAATCACCTCTACATTATCAGTTATAAGTGCCTTCCTGCACCCAATCTATATATATTGGAAGTGCCTTCCTGCACCCAATCTATATATATTGGAAGTGCCTTCCGGGCCCAATCTATATATATTGGAAGTGCCTTCCTGCACCCAATCTATATATATTGGAAGTGCCTTCCTGCACTCCACCTCTGTATATTCTCATCTGGAGTATCCCTAAAATGTAATTTACCACCAGAGCAAACAAAATAAAACAGTTCTTCCATACATTATATTAACTCAACTTCAAACAATTCAAAGGTATAACATTATTAACTAAAAATCACAGAAGAAATTATTCAAACAACATACTTATCAATATTGACAGCTAGTGTGTAATATCTGTACCGTTTCAGGTACACGTTGTCTGTCACAAACATAAGGTTCCCACTGTAAACATCTATACCATAGAAGGGTACAGGTCAGTATCCATTACCAAACATATTTTCTGGGGAACAAAACCATTGTGTTTCAAATGAAAAATAATTTGTATTCCTATTATAGGCTATAATCTGTTTCCTGAAAAGTTTAATTTAATAGCCAGGTAAATAGTTTGAAATCCTTTTATTATTAAAATGTAAACCCAATATTTTATTGATTTACAGTCTTTATCTAATATAGTTATTAATGATGTTAATTGATGAATTAAAAATAAAATTAACACAATAGAAACAGATTGACATCTGAAAACATCATAACCAATAAGTAAAGCATCACAAACACTTTTTTATGACATTTGTTACATTCTGGCATCACCATCGATTAATGCTAGTGACTTCCATCAACTCCATATGACAGGATTCCAGCAGCGTTAACTTCTTCAAAAAATAATCTGAATACCTCACCATTCAACACTTAATGTGAGAGTACCAGCGTCATATCATGTTGACACCCTTTATCTTAACACAAATTAAACATCAAGCATGCAACTCCAGCAACTTTTACAATGAAGCACTCTCCAGGGACATTCACAGAAAGCAAAGCAACAAACTTTACAAAAAAACGTCGCTATCAGTGTTAGGTGAACATGTAGTAGCTACCATATTAAATAAACGTCAAAATTTAATGATTTCAATTTACAGTCGTTTAGCCCAAACATTTGTGACTAAATTCTGTAAATCAGCAAGATACAATGTACCTTTAAATTATATATATTAATTGTACATTTAATGTACTTATAGTTAACAAGTGTCATTCTTTCCTCTCTGATAAACAAAACAATTAATTTCGATGCAAACTTATAAACTTCCAAAATTCAAATGCAAGGCTGTATTTCTCAATATTTCACACAAGTTTTTAAGACATCATCTTCTTAAAGACTCGAGTTACAATAATACTACTAGTAATCAAGAGGAAATGTACACTGTTCCAATCAAACAACTTCCTATTGGATCAATGGAATAGCAATTAGTAACTGAAGACCATTTTATCCATAGAGAAATATTTCTACAATACAAAGTGATAGAAATAAGGATATGATTTAAATTGTGACAACACATCATCAAAATTAAATCTTCCTCATGATTTCTGGAATAAATAAAGGATGTTGCTACTAAAAGTATGATGTGAAGAAGGTTATTCCTCACGACATCTTCTCTAAAATGTCTTTATCTAATCATCATCTTCTAGAAGACAAACTTATTACTTGGCCTTTAAAGGTGACTCGGCAGTGCAACAAAGTGAACTTTGACCCAATGAAGAATGCTGAAACAATCGCCTAGTATGTTATTCTTCTAAACATTATCTTACTGTTGCTATATGATACTGGTATTTATACAATCTTATTTAATGTGATTTACATTAGAAGGTGTCTATTAAATGACTATAAGTTCTGAAAAGAAATAGCAGCAATCTAAATGTATAAACTGACTTAACATCAATTTAAAATGACTTGAAAAAAACCCAAATACATGAAAAAATATATGATTATTTGATACACAAAAAAGATTATCCATTTCTCGAATTATGAATGAAAACCACTGATATGTTATCTTCAAGGAAATTTGTCAACATTTCCAATATTTACATTCACAATGTTATACCAATCAATAGTTGACACCCACTTTACTTGAATTTTATCATTATATACAACATATCATGATGAACAAAACAGTAAATCACATATGCTGAGACTTTTTTATGATGTGCGCATGATGACATAATGTGACTTAAGCTATGACCATGTAAAACGTACAAATACAATACTAACATGATGGACAATTTGGATAAAAAACTGTATTAAGGTTCATAAACCATGATGTATCTACTTCTTACCTACATGGACATATCAGGCGTGTTTTATGACCAATAATCACTATCATCTAGTAACATGAATTTGTCTGAAGTATGATTAATTGTTTCAAATTTAATAAATATTACTATTTTTCATCTGACGTCTATGGAGTTGTGCATTTCTATAACTTGTGTGCGAAGCATTGGATGTTATGTGAGGGGAAAACAATGATAAAAATAACATACTTCTTTATATTACAATGGTTAATTTTATTTCCTGAGTTAATTTTAGCCACTGTGCTTTTAGTATTTCTGTTCTTTAAAAAAGAAGTAAGAATGAAAAACGTTGAGCAAATATGTAAATAATTTGTTGTTTACTATATTTTGTACAAATTGTGCCACCTTATATAGTTATTGATATATTTTGTTATAAACAACTTAACCCTCTCACCCCTATGTAACTTAAATAGACGTTGCCATGCAATGATCTGGCTAAGTCGATTATGGTCTACAGGGGTGAGAGGGTTAATGGAGTGTATATGACTAAACATAACACAAACACGTCCACAAAACTACATAACATAAAGTTATAACAAAACACTCGGCATCCTACTAGGGGTGGTGCCGGAACATCTTTTTTATAATATTGCAAACGAAAAGCACCATGTAGCCCACATCACAAATTAACTGCTTTCCAACAAGACTGATGCTACAGAGCAATATTTACTATCAAAAATACATAACTTCACAGAATCACTGCAATATATACTAAGGAAAATATACAAAACATACTAGGGATACTTTATGAAAAAAAATCTGATGTTACAAACTTTCCGTGTTAGTCTAACAATTATATTTGAGATAGTATTCCTAAATCTAAATTGTTGCTTAAATTTTAATTTTCAAATTTCTCAAAATTATTTTCAGTTTCTAATTGAAAGTTTAATTCATAGTATTCAACCAAATTCCAGACAATAAAAATTTAATTTCCATAAAATTCTAGAATAATTCTATGAATACTTAATTAAAGGTGAGCTTACTATAAGTCAACTAGAATGGGCTTATTTAACAATACAATGAAGAGAAATATATACAATTAGCAAAGACAGTGAGGGCACAGTATGTATCCATCACTTAAAATATCACAATCATTTACATTCATCATTTTGGAATCTAACAAATCTGATAATCTTAGAATATTTTTCAGTTGTATGTTAATTTCCAATCTTTGATTTTTGTCAACAAATCAAACTTTATTCTAGATCATTAAAACAGTGTTCACTTTTTTGAAAACAGATCACCATAGCTATGACCTTTTTCGATCTTATTTATCAAGTAGACAGGATCATATGAGCCGGACAGATTACGTCTCATCTGTCGAGAAGACTTCCAGAAATACAGATTAATTGGATTACAATCCTGTGTAGAATTGGCATGATGGGGATGTCACTGGGATGTCGCTGGGATGTCACTGGGATGTCGCCTGATAATGTACGAAGCTGTTCGCATTGTTATATGCATATAGTGATGATTCAAAGGGATGTTAACAATATCCAACATGAGTTTGTACATAATTAATATCACTCTTAAAAGGTAAATACTGGCTCTGTACAGGTAAAATATACTGTTTACGATTGAATGAGATAGGTATAATGTATTGTACACCTGTCCTGATTGCCCTCCTTAGTTCTTATGTTTATACAGGTACGTACATTGGTAACTGGTGTAGTGATAGATTCTAGTATATACAGATACTGGGTAAGATGTACATAGTTTCATGGTTGTACTGGTATAATTAACTGTACAAAACATTGGATGTGTAAAGCTTAACATCAATATTCCACCTGCTTTCACACACACAACTTGTTAATGTAATACGTACAGAGTATGTACCACACATACTACACTTGCCCTGTGTTATTGATATACAGTAAACTATATTTGCAGCAAACATATTTGTAACAAATAAGCACTTAGTACAAACACATTTTGAACCCTCTTATAGTAATGTTACTTGTTTAACCATATACCAGTTACGATTCTAATGAACACAGTACTTGGGTCCCCGAGCCTTGCTATAAACATGTTTTACTGTATCTTGCATCTACAAGTAAATACTGGTTTAGCATGTATCTGTACATATCTGTACACACACCTGTCAAACATGTACCTGTACATAGTAACTGCAGATACCATACCTTATTGGCCTATCTATATACATTCATATTTCGACCAATGGCCTGGGCTAGAGTCACAACTTTAAATTTCATTATTTCACCTTCTGATTAGATTTTGGCATGTTGTATGCACCAACAAATATAGAAGATATTTTCCCTCACATGGATTCATTTTTCACCCTTCAAATATTTGTCAGTGGGCAGTCGGACCACAAATCAAACACAGAACTCTGCCAAATTCATACACATTGAAAAAAGAAAGTAGCAACCGAGCCTTACAGAGGTCACAGATTTGAAAGTTATAAAGTGGCAAAGGATCACAAATACTGTACAGATCAACAAGTCATAATATCAGCAGCGACTGTACACACATCTGTATTATTTCACACATGTAAACACTCTTAAGGTGACCAGGAGCTTGGTTCCTGTGTGTCAGTCTGTTGTATCACAAATCCCTCATACCTGAATTTTAACACACTATTAAAGTTTATGAACAAACATGAACTAGGTTCCAACTGTTGTTCAAACTTGTCAACATCAAATCTTCAGAATGACGGCTTCAATTATCATTTCTCCATTTTGTCTTCATATGCGAGATCAGTGGAAGGGGAAACACAAGTCAATGAATGAGATCAACAGGTACGATGTCGGTGGAGATTTCCTTCTTCTGTCCAGGACACTTGACTCATCCCCCAACGAGTTTGTGTGTGGGGACATTCCCCATACAGGTCTATGTCCGGGACATTACAATCTCTTCACACGATTCTAGGAGTCTATTAGCTGTGCTTTGTATGCGCACACTACCAGTTTGGCCTGCAAGTAGAAAACATTCTTTCAAAACATCTTAACATTTATCATTGATTACATTTCATTTGAATGTGTAATCAAGTAAACAATAATATAAGTTTAGACTGTCAAAGCACGAGATGCCACTGTATTCAAATCTTCACACAGGGCCTATTTAAAACACTTCTTTTTATACGAGACCAGCTTTTCCAATTGCTACGGTTTCAAAAAATTATCTTATATACATCAATAAAAGGGGACTTGGAAACCCGTTTCTTGCTATTCTTTAGTTTTTGTTTCAGTGGTAAGATAATGAATGTAACTGTCATGAATTTTCCTTTAACAACAGAGCGTGTTGTAGGTGTACACTGTACTAAATTTGGACAACAACATAATACATGATAATGTTACTATCACATATTTTTAAACATATATCGGCGACCTTTGACCTCCATAATACCAACCTTTGAACCTGGAGCTGGTACTGTGTTGATGATGACCTCATTTCTTCCATGTTGAAGTGGACAACAGGATAACACAAAATTAGCTTCCTGAGGAGAGAAACATAATGCATATTATTATGAAGTTCTACTTTATACATAATGTACGTATCAAATGTGTTGTAACATTACAAGACCGTATGGTCCTTTTGTCAAGCTACGACGGAGCGAGTGATTTAGGTTGTTTAACAGTACAACCATGTGATGAAATTGTATATTCATATGTCACTCGACCCGACGTACACACTTTGTGTAATGCATATTGATGTATCAAATGATCCCCATTCACAAACAAAGCAATAAAACATGGTTCTTTAAGAAACTCTCTTCATGAAAAAGAGTAACAATTTACGTGCTAGTGTATGTACCTCTGTGAGTGGTGGCTGCTGAACACCATTGAGTGAAACATTCTGTACTGCACAGGGGCCATAGAATCTGCAGCGGATGTCCTGGGCTGTGATGCGGGCATGGGCCACAAACAATAGGTACCCTACCCCTGGTAAAGACAAAAGGGAAAATAACCATCAAATAATGAAACGAGGATAACAATTTATCATAGACCTGACAGTACAAAACAATGCATTATAAATGTTCTAGTTCAGGCTTCAGACATCAACACATGACTGTGTAGTCTTACAATTTTACACCAAAATGAAACTAGAATCTGTATGTTGGCTGTCAAAATTGATTTGTAATGGGCATGCATATTATTTTGAGGCTGTTAATGCAAGTGAAACACTTGCAAGATTTAGATTTTCTCATGATTTACTTCTAAGGTTACCCTCCCTTTTGGGATCTTTCTGACATGCAAGTTTTGTGTACATTAAATGGGAAGTGAGAGCATATTTTATATCAATTGTTTTTAGGACTTTTAATGAAAATCTTAAATTGTTTTAAGAGTTATTTGTGTGGATAGTATGTTAACTATATTTAGAGATCAGGGTTCCTCAAAATATAAGGCAAATTAATGAAAAGCATTTGCAATTATTTTGACATGATGCACTTCTTAAAATCAACCACACATGTACATTGAACGACACAATCCATATGTAAATGAACAGAACCAAAAAGACGTTCTTGACAGCATCATCAATGTTACATAGAAACAACTTTGGCCTTTGATCATCTTTATCTCCCACTGACAGCAAGGGCTACAAATGCATTTCCTTGAGTCACTGACTCCAATGGTTCTGTCAGTTTAAACTAGGATGTGCAGATCACACGACGGGACAAACAAATTTGGCTGGTCTCTCTCATCTTGTAAAACAGACAATCTGAATTGTCCAGATTTCATCACTAGTGAGATAACACTAATCCACCAGATTACATCCAAATCAAGCAACATTTACCTGGTGTGTTAGCCTGAAGTTCATGTTTAAAGTTGACAGAGAACTTTTCTCCCTCGGACAGCGGGAAGCACTGGAGTGGGAAAAGAGCGCTGATTATCTTAGCTGTGCTGTTCAATGTGATGGCAACTTGTTTGTCAAACTCATTGGTTAACCTGCAATTAAAAAATACACTTACAATAAGATCTAACAAGCCAGTCAGGCTTCAACTAATGGGCCCCGATATCTACACTATTACAGTTTGATATAAGGGCAATTTACATCAATTTCCATGACACTGATTTCTGACACCAAAATTCCTGTACATGTATATATGGCCTACAATATATAAATCTAACAAACTTTTGTTCCATGGATCTTACCTACGGTACTCAATTTTCAATAGAAAAGGATTTGGATAAAATTAGAAGTAGAGAGCATGGCATGAATTCTAAAAATAAAAACAAGGCATCACAGATGATAAAAATATCCTCTCAAAATGCAAACTTATACAAAAGATGATGCTTGTGAATAGTTGTGTGAAGTTTCCTGACAATCATATAAGAAATTAAGTCTTTAGAGCAACTTCTATCAAGTTCTATTTATAGTAATGATGACCTAGTTTTTGAATGCAGAAGGTTGAAATGCAAAGAATATGAGGTAAGTTCCTGAACACATGAATTTTTATGACAATTGGTAAGAAATGAAGTCTGTGAAGCAATTTCTATAAATTCTATTTATAGTAATGGTGACCTAGTTTTTGACAGCATGACGTCGAAGCGCAAACTAAAATAAAAATAGGTGATGTGGGAAGTTTCGTGATGATTGGGGAAAAAAATAATTCTTTGGAGCAGTTTATATCAAATTCTCAAGAGCAATTTCTATCAAACTTGATAGTAACATTGAACTTAATTTTGACGGCAGAAGGTCAAAATGCAAACATATACAAGATGTGATGTTTGCGAACAAGTGTGTGAAGTTTCATGACAATTAGACAAGAAATGAAGTCAGTAGAGCGGTGACACTGTTTGGAACATGTACAAATGTATGGGTGGACCCCTATATACCCTCACCAACTTGTCACAAGGGTATAATACACTGACTAACACATAATATAATCCTATGTGAAAACTAATGCAAAACTAATTTTGTATTGAATTCAACTTTTTCTGCCTTTTCTTCATTTGAAAGGAACAGGTGAAGTAAATAGGTAAGAGATAAGTTTGCCGACTTCTCAGGAGACTAACGTGTACAGTATAGCTCAGTACCTGGAGATGTAGTCTACAATGATGTCCTCTATCTCAGTCAGCCTCATCATTTTGGCGTACGTTACTGCTGTAAATCCTGAGTTGTTCTGAGCCGAGAAATTAGCACCATGCTCCAACAGAAACTTCACAATTTGTTTATGGCCTCTTCTCACTGCCTGTAATGTCAAATCATATACATATTTAATCCAACATTGTCAGAATAAAAAGGAATAACCATTAGGAACAGAAGAAAGTGTCATAGACAAGAGAATTAAATTATCAATACTCAAAATGTGTGTACATTTTACATCTTGAAATCATTTAAATTTAGCTCAAAATATTTACCACAGGAGCACATTTTTTATATCTAAGTCCCCTACATGTAGTAAACTTGATGGTTATTTAACCTAGTCCCTGATATACATAAGAAATAGATACCTTCATCAGTGCTGTTTCACCCGTTGTCTGCTGCAGATTCACATTGGCTCCCAGTTCAACTAGCAATGCTACCGTACATATGTGAGCCTAAAAAAGAAGAGATAAAACTTAAACGAATAACTAACCACAAAATTAATTTAAATACATTTTTTTTACACATTATCAAACTCCAAATATACAAAAAAATAATTGTAAGTATAGATAAACTTCATTAAGAGCTTGATTGAAGAATGTGCATTTATCAGCTCAAAACAAAACAAAGACAAGGAACATCGATGTTTATTAACATGATTTTAGGCTGAGTTTTGCAAGCCTTGACATAAATTTTTCAAATTATACTCCATTAATTTCTCTGCCTGGTGCTCATTTATAATGTTTAAGTATTAAACAAAAACAGCATAAATATTTAAAATATGTAATTGTTATGTCAGTTATGGGTAAATATTCCGGAAGGCAAATAAATGATCATTATGTAAAACAATCATAGTGATAAACAATCAAAGTGATCTAGGAGCAAGTTGAACGTTACAATGTATATGATAGGCTGACAACTACGGAGATTTTGATAAGATTTTCTTTTTTGAAGTGGTCCGTCTTAATAGTAATGCACAGGTATCCTGAACTTTGAGCATAATTTTTATGATGCAATGAAATTGATCCAAGCTTCAGACAAAAAATAACTCCCAATTAAAAAAGTCACATTGGGCTTTAAATGTAGCGTATTTGTGTTAACACCCATTTGATTCATGGAGGGTGTATTATTACGACTTACATGTTCGCAAGCCAGCATGAGGGATGTCGTGCCATTATGCTGCTGTGCATTGATATTTGCCTTGTGGTTGACTAGCAACTCTGCTATATCATCATTACCTAAAATGAGACACATAATACAAGCAACTCAAATAATATTAAGTACAGCATAGTGAATTAAAGAAATATCACCACATGAAATTAAAACAAATTGCAATAACTATCATTTCAAAAATCAATAATATAAACCTCAGTGGACCACTGTTATCATTTTCAATCTAGGAATTATGTATTCAGTAATCTGTTTCAAAGAGCAAATGTTCCTATAATATTGGATTAAAATTTATGTGCACTTTTTATTTTTCAATTTTTAAGATGACTATGTCAGCTAACAGTTTGATCCGAGCAGAGTGAAGCTACATAGCTGGGGCCTCACCATTCTGAGCTGAATACATCAGCAGTGTAATTCCCAAGTCATCAACAGACTCCACATCAAACTTCTTTTTGCTGCCGAGTGCTTTTTTGACTAACAAATAATCTCCTTCCATTACTGCTTGTCTGAAGTTTTCTGTTGAGAGAATAAAATGTAAGAATGTATCCAAGATCTTGAGCTCTACATCAATGCATTGTTACTGAAACTCACAAAAGCTGTAGTAAAATCAGCTTTTTCTACTAAGAATTGTCCAAAAAAATCAAGCCCATATTTTCATTTTAATGTGTGGGAGTTCTTTCAAGACTACCAGGCCATCCTCTTCAAGTTCATCATGTGTCATTATGTCTGGTCATAACAGTGACTTGTACAATGAAAGTAAAGTCTCATTTCAGCAGATCTTTTTGTTATTTTTGTAACATTCCCCTTGAAAGAAGCTAAGGACAACCACATGAATGCATATGACCTTGTTCCATAGTTATTATATACATAAAAAGTCAAACAATGCATTGTTCCACTTAAATACTAAGCATAAACAAACTTGGAGCTCCAGACCTTTTTCCATCTTCACAAAAAAAGAGCACATCCTGTAAGGGAGATAACTTTAACAATGCTCTTAAATTGAGGTATCAAATCCCTAAAATGTAATGTACCGGTAACATATGTATTTAAGTGTAGAAATGTGTACTCACCATCACTTATATCAACAATTTCTTCTCCATCATCAGCAGTCTGTAAAGAAAAACACATACAAATTTAATGTTTGCAAAAAATAAATATATCATAAATAATAATAGAAATAATTTTATTAGCGTGTCACACATTTTAAAATACATGCATCATAGTGTTAACTAAAATAATGCATGATTTATAAAATGCCCAGCCAGTATTGGCTTATGAGACACAGAACATACTAAGAGTAGACTCTAGCTATAAAACACTACAGAGATGCCTCATTCCTTAAAAAGATAAACTTATCTTTTGAACTCGTATCTAAAAAAATTGATGACATATCATTAGCCTTTATAAAAAGAGGTTCCCTGATTTCATTATAATAATCACAATCACATAAAAAAATAATTTCAGATTCAACAGAGTTAGAGTTACAATATATACAAAATCTATCACATGATTGTATTGCAGGTTTACCATAGCGGCCAGTCTCTATACACAATGGCAAACTTTCATACCGCAGAAGAGCTAAAACTGCTTTGTGATCTGGGCATTATACTGGTTACCTAAGTTTCAGGTTTAAAATATTTTTTGAACAATCTATACGTTCTTAGCTTAAAATTATATGCATCATTCTCACATTCTAGCTAATAAATGTTATATTAAATATACAGGAAAAGGTGTTTTTTTTCAAAAGAAAGTTATAAAACTAAAGTATTAGACAAGTAATCCTAAGTCTCTAATCTGTTATGATGACTTAACGTTTTATATTGATCAACATCCTATTAACAGCTAAAGCCCTTTAAGGACATTTATGATGACTTACAAATTCATGGAAATGGTATCCATGAAACATTGGCACTACAGATACTGTCTTAAATTTCCTATTAATTGAGTAATCAGACAGATTTATGTTTCTGACATACAGGAGAAAAACATGTATGTAGATTGTATAGTCTGGAGGATTGAAAAGCCTATTAACTATTATTTAGTACTTAATTTTGTATATATTATCTTAAAAAAAGAGATTGACAAGTAAACTTGACAAGGTACTTGCAGTGACGAACATGCTTCCCCCATATACACTCATATATCAAAGTTAAATTTAACACACAGCATAGCACTTTATTTGAGAGAGACAAATAAAAAAAACAGAAAATATTTCTCTTAGACATCAGCACACAGCATCTTATAACCAACATGTCGCTGCTTCTTTAGTCTATACTAAGAGTAAGAGCCTGGTAAGGTCATATAAGTCAACACACACAATTCACTTTGATGACAGGCAGACATTTCAACCCAATGTTTAGAAGTAAAATATAACCCTTTTTTAACAACATACAAAACTAATGCTTTCCATATAATAGACCTTCAATAGCATGTGTCATCAATAACAGAAGATTGTTTCTCTCAGATTTATGAAATACAATACAACGAAATTGTGTCAACTGCATTGAGAAATGTGTATGTTGGAAGCCAAGGAAATTCATTTTCCTGCTCCTTCCACGTCTTGGAAGAGGAAGCCCTACACTGAAGTATTGATTTCTTGGTAAACTTTATAGATTTCAGACTCAAAGGCTTCTCCTCCAGTTTCATTTGCCTGGTGCCATGAACACATCTATCTTAGTATAATACAGCCGGCTGCTCTTGTTTTAAAGAAATATCCTCATCATGATCAATGTTTTGTAATTCAAATTTTGATGTTGCTTTGGTTTCTAAGTGTTCTAGCTGTTCATCACCAGTAAGAAGTGTAGAACAGCTTCAGCTGGCTCGACAACTCAGCTTGATTTATTTGCCCACCTGATCACTGCATAGGATGAAGGTGTGGAGCATACATCACACCAAAACCACTCCACCTCATCATTAATCGTTAGCCAAGCAAGTTTGTATTTCTATTTCAATACGTACGTCTACATACCCCATGTAATGACTCTTCAAGCAAATTTGTATTTCCATTTTAATAATGACACTAATATACATGTACTCTGCAAATACTGGCAGACAAGTTTGTATTTTCATTTTAATAATGACACTATTATGCTCTGCAAATACTGGCTGACAATTTTGTCTTTCATTTTAATAATGACACTTAAATACACTGCAATTACTGGCAGACAAGTTTGTATTTCCATTTCAACATAAACACCTACATACTCCCAGTAATGATTTGTCAAGCAAATTTGTATTTCCTTTTCAACACTTACACCAAAATACCCCTGTTATGACATGTCAAGCAGATTTTTATTTCCATTTAGCACTATCTTCTATTAACTAATACAAAAATACTGTTAGTTTTATCTGAATCTGCCTCTACATGATATAGCTTGGGGGTTTTACAACATGGTTGGTAATTATTTAAGCATTAAACTGCATTCTGTTCAGGATTATAGTCAAAATTCTGAACTGTATTGACAAACAAATTAAATGAGATGATGTAATGTGTTTTGACCGTTTGTTTGAAATCCTCTTCCGAATCACAGAAAGAGATTTTTCATAAACAGTTTACAGTTTCATTCTTGTTTATCAATGATTTTGATGATCAGTTGATACCTACTCGCTTATTTGATACTCGCTTATTTGATAATCAATTGATACCAAGTTTTGTATTTATTCCTTCAAATATGAAATTGTTTTCAATCAATAAGGAAAGAGCCCAGGCGCACCAGTATGAGATCTCAAACATTATGATGCGACAATGTAATGCATCAAGATTAGCACGCCACAGTTATAAATGAAGAGAAATTCTAAATATAATTGTGACATACATTATTTGCACAGGAGGCACGTGCTACAATATCTTTAACCTATAACAAGATTGCATTCACCTGTGGCTAGAAATTTCATGTTTCCTGTGTATATTGTTTCATTCAATGTTTTCATCAAAGTTGGATTGAGATTTGTCAGGGTAACAGCTGTAATCTTCATAAATTCTTTCAAGTTTTATATGAATATGAAAATGTATTTAATGAAGATTTGGTCTCCAGCAGAATGAGAATCAACATGATGTAATTACATGGTAGAAACCTACCGCACACCCATACTGGTGGGTATACATACAGACAACAGAAGCTTTCAAGTCACAGCTTTTGTTTGTAACAAGTATTAATAAAATAGGGACTAAAAGAATGAAGAATCGGGGCTTTGAATTGACCCTTGACCTCTAGAAGTCATTTTGGCTAGAAATTTGAAGTCAAAATACATTGCAAATTCACAAGTCAAATTTCAAACCCAAGAATCCTCCAAGTTCATTTTAACCCAAGAATCCTCCAAGTTCATTTTGGGACATCAAAAACAATCATTGTGATTATGGCAAATTAAACCTCAATGTAGTCTACCTACCAGGTAATGTCATTTGCACTTTGAAATCACCTCTTATTTGCTTTTTTATTCTTAAAAACCTGAACCCTTTTAATTGCTGAAAAATTGCTTGACAAAAGGTGGCAGTATAAGATGTTGAATGTGTTATTGAATTACACTGGAATGACTATTTAAATTCACAACTGAAGCTTGTCATGATTTGTCTTTACAGTATAAATATATGTATATTGTGTGTTCCTTCCTTCATACAAATTCTCTGTGTGTCACCTAGCTGACCTTTCTTTTCTACATAAAAATGCTGTGCATGTCAATTAGCTGGACTTTTCTTTCTACATACAATATCTGTTCATGTCAACTAGCTGGCCTATCCTTTTTACATACAAATTCTATGCATGTCAACTAGCTGGCCTTTTCCCCCTACATAAAATATATATCGGTGCATGTCAACCTCCTTGAAAGTTCATTTCTATATACAATATTTGTGCATGTCAACTAGTTGGTCTTTTTTCCTTACATAAAATGTATATATCTGTGACGTAACTTAGTTGGCCTTCTTTCCCTACATGAAATATATATTGATGCATGTCAACTAACTGGCCTTTCCTTTCTACATACAAGTTCTGTGCATGTCAATCAATTCATGGTAAATGGGCAGGTGCCCTGCCACATCCACATGCATTATGTAACAAAGAAGTTGCTCCAGTGGACCTGCAGCCAGCCTATATCACAGCCAGGAGATGGATGTAGCCGGTGACAGTCTTCAAACCTAACACACTTTTGTGGTTGTGTACCAGGGTTCAATTACTACCGATCAATATAACAGGCAAATATCTGTTCACCGCCCAAGATTCTAATCAACAGTGCATATAGATCAACCTTTCAACAAAATAGGTTGAGTGTACGCAGAAAAATGACCAGCAGCCATACACGAAAACCTACTGCAACAGGTTTTTAAAACCTGTTGCTTTTTTGGTCTCTTTAAATATGCTTTTTTGGTCTCTTTAAATATGCTTTTTTGGTCTCTTTAAATATGCTTTTACTTATAATACAGGGAGTGACGAGGTAGTACAAGCCTTTTGCACAAATTATCAGTTCATTATATTGAAATCAGGTCAGACCCTACTTCACACTGTAAATTCAGTGTTATATATGCTCTCTACCTACTCAAATACTGGCGACAATGACTATATAGTCATTTCAGTAGTAACTAGTGCTCTATTTTAAGGACCATGGTCTCGAGGTGAATACTGTACTAATTTATTGAAAGGCAATGTGATGTATGTATTACCAGAATATATAGGTCAATGTATGTCAGGAGGAATGATTGACCTGATATTTTGACACAAAAGTCTCAAGCCGGAACTGAAAATCTTTTAAATGGACTATAGGTATGCTGTATACAGTAAAGCTAAGTCACCATTAAACCTTTTACAGTGTTAAAACCAATTAGGTGGAGAAAATGGCCAAATGGTCCATGCATGCAACCAAAATCAATACACACACAGGTACCAATCAATATTTGTGCAATAGACCATGTCATATTTATAGTAAATTAAACAGAAATGCTTGATGTGCCATCAACTGTTAACTCAATTTCAGATTTGGACTTCAGAAAGAGGTCTAATCCAATTAGTTTGTGTGAACACACATGTACATGTATACTAGATCAATACATCAGCTGGTCATTGCACTGGGATACAGATGACCATATGTGTGTGGCCAAGGGTTTGAGAGCCGCTGGG